GGCTTTCAAAAAAAAAAAAAAACTCACCAAAAAAAAAAATCCAAACAAACATACCTGCATGCAGGTGAGAATCTTCAAAAAAGATCGAAAACCTTCAAGGAATTGTATTCTCAATCTTTCTGTCCATATTGTAGGCTTGCTTATCAAGATATACCTGTTATTACGAAAGAAAAAGAAATATTTTCTTATTTTGAGCTCCTATTAAGATTCTCTATAGACAACGGTGAAGTCTCAATATTACGGATTCTAATTTCATGCTACAGTTAGAAGCTTTGAGCAGGCTAAATTTATGCTGCTTTATTTTAAATAACAACTAATAGAATGTGAATACTTTAGATGACACAAATCCACACCACACCTTCAGAAGTTATTTGATTAAATGAATCCATAGTAGGGGGCCTATTGGAAAGAAGCTATGATGCAATTCTAAAGGCACGCAGTTTGAATCCACCAATTGCTTCTCAGGAGAAAAATGGGCAATCTCTTCTCCTGTGATTTATGGCCTGTGAAAACCTGCTTAAGGGTCAGCTTGGGTTGATCCCGACTTGATGGCACACAACAACAACAACAAAATAACTGTCCTAGCATGTTACAGCTAATTGTGGATAACCATAATGAATATTCTTCACTTAAAGAAAGGGCCAGATGAAATTTCTTCAATCTTAGGATATCTAAAACCGATTTCTAACATCTACTTTAAACTTCTATTTTCCAACCTCTAAATCTAAAAACTTAGAACGTGAGAGGATAAAGCACTGATGTCATCTTTTGCTTTATTTCTTTAACACGTTGCCGCAAATGACTGCAAATGTGTTTCTAAGCACGGGTGTCAATTTTAAAAGTGTGAGGCAATGTGTTAAAGGAAGAGCTGTATTAGGTTATATTTTAAGTTTGCTGATCAAAATGTACATGATTCATGAGATAAACAATCAGTCTAACCTATAGTTCCTTTAGCTAGAAAGACAACGAAATCATTTGAATGATTTTACAAGGAGCAATTATTAGACAGCAGGTACTAATAATACCCTGCCTTCTAGGCCCTGATGTTCTAAGCATAATGCAAAACCCATATAAACAGTGGCCAATGCAACCCAATGTCATATATAAAAGAGGTATACAGGGAACAATGGAGAACCATAAAAACCAAAACAATAAAGATAGAAAATTTTTTTTAAAGATAGCCAAGATTGGGGTTTAATTTTCTCCATTCTTCAGAAATCCATTAACTTGTTAAAGATCCATTAAAAATACAATCACCAAGACCTAATCAAAGAAACAGAATTTGAAAGAAACTAATTATGATCTAAATCTTTCTTTTAAAATAAAGGTAAAAAACTGGAAGGCTTAAAGTCTTTCACAAGAGGCTGTAAAGTTCAGCTATTTCTGGAGCACTGCTATTTGAATGTCACAAAGTAGCAGTAGCAGAATTTACTGAGCATTTTGTTAGAAATATAGATGTCTGGATCCATGACAGATCTATTGAAAAAATAAATTAGCATTTTTAAAAGCTCCTCAGATAATTTGCATTAATATTAAAATCTGAGAAGTATTCAACTAGAGTAGAAGAGAGTTTATATCTAATTTCTAGTGACTGATAGTGGTCATATCTGACTTCAAGAGAAAGGTGTAAAGAAGAGTCAAGAGTAAGGAAAGTTACAAATTCGAATTTTACGCAAGTCCTGTAATTCTAAAAAATGGCTGACCAAAGTAGGTTTCACTAACTAAAAAACTTCAGGCAAGCTTCTTCTTGACTCAAGGCCTCTGATCTCCTTTTCTTAGCAGCTTCTGCTTCATAAGAAATAGCCATAATTCATCTGGTTTTAATGTAATCTTGGGAAATTATGAAGAACCATGTGATTCATCTCACAACTTTATCTCCCCTAACTTCCCTTAGAATCATTGTGTGGAGTAATTAGTTCAGGCACTCAATTCTTAAGCAAAAGGTTAAAGGATCAAATTCACACAGAAGCAGCTCAGAAAAAAGGCCTATCTACTTCCCAAAAAAATCCACTGTAAATTCTGTGTGACATAGCTCTATTTTGATACACATGAGGCCACCATGAGTCAGAAATCTCTTCCAGGACAGTTAATAGATCCTCTTCTTTTTCCCACTTGCTACCTCTTGTCATTAAAAAGTATATTGTCTCCTGCTTTAGTTTTGGCCTTCGTTTGTTATTTTATAATCTCTCCCTGACAGCCCCCCACTGCACCTTCTCCCTTTCAAACAGTCATTCCTGCCTGTTTGAACATTGCCCAATACTATTTTCTTCAAAAAACGAGAGGAAGATGATTTTGTAGATAAAAATACAATGGCAAAATCAGCCTGATTAAAAAAATCAAGAGCAAGTGGAAGAATAAAAGGATGATTCCGTTTTAGCCAGTTACACTTTTTTAAAATGTATTTTATTATTATTATTTTGTGTGTGTGTACCGCCAAATCAGATCTGACTGGTATAGGAGGAGATTGTTCCTCCTTCTTCAGCAGAGCATCTGGTGGATTCGAACTGCTCACCTCTGGTATTGCAGTGCAGCTTCTTGCCTCTAAGGCTTGCCCAGTTATACTTTTAAATAAAGTAAACATGGGAATAGATTAGAGAAATAAAAGGATAGTATCCTTCAATAGAATTGTATCTCTTTCCTAAATTTCCACAGTGAATTAGTAACTGAGAAACAAAATAGTCCATCACATACTTTTCCCTGAGAGTAACAAATGAAGCCACCTATTGTTGTTAGATGTTGGAAGTCACTTCCACTTTTTAGCAACAATCCTATGTATAAGAAAATGAAATGCTGCCCTATCCTGTGCCATCCTCATAATCTCCACTGTGCGCAAGCCTGTTGTTCTAGTGGCTGAGTCAATCCATTTTATTGAGAATTTTCCTTTCACTGATCCTCTATTTCTGAGCACAATGTCCTCTTCCAGAGTCTGATCCCCCTCTGAACAATATGCCCAAAGAAGCATTGAGGTTATATTTCTTCCAAGACAGATTTGCTTTTTTTCTTCTGTCAGTACATTCATTAATCTTTGCCAATACCATAATTCAAAGACATCACTTCTTTGGTCTCCCTTCTTCACTGTCCAATTTTCACAAGTTAAAAGACCATGAGTTGGGTCAGACACCCTAGTATTAAAAATTATATTCTTCCTGTTTATCACTTTTAGAAAGTGAATTAGTAGAGCTGTGGTCTTTAAAATGAGGGTGGTCTTTATTGACGTCAGTTGGAGCACCAACTAAAAAAAATGTACATTTCTTTTTAGCAAATAACTTTAAATGGTATGTACTCAACTGGAAACAGTTCAGAAGAGAAAGACAAAGATTTAGAAGGAATTTTAAATGATATGAAATAGAAACAGTCAAAGAAATGAATGCAATTGATACTAGAGAAGCCCTGGCAGATATGACTGTTATTTTTAAATATTTCACATTAAATTAAGCTGTTCAGAATAGACAAAGAGAGAGCTTGAACCAGAGAACAAAAGCTACCTAAAGACAGGATTCAGCATAAATAAGAAACTTTTTAACTACTGGAACTTGGAATGTACAACTTTGAAAAAATTAGTTTCCTCAGAGAGAATGAACAAAGCATGTTATATTGCCAGTAAAATGTAATTCATGTTGCATTACAACCAGGTAGGATTAAGGATACAGAGAAAAGAGACTTAAAATTCAAGAAGGATTTAGACTTTATTATGGAAAATGTGAAGAGACATTGTTGTTATCTGCCATCAAGTCACTTGCTACTCATAGCGACCCTATGTAAAAGAGCCCTAAGTGCCGTTCTATCCTGTGCCAACCTCGCCGTCTCAAACACACTCATTCCCACCACTCTACTCACAGAAATCGATCCATCTCATCGAGGGTCTTCCCCTCCTGCACCGTCCCTCCACTCTCCCAAACATGATGTCTGTCTCCAAGGACCAGTCCCTCCTTGCCACATACCCAAAGTATGTCAGACAAAGCTTCAGAATCCTTGACTCCAAGGAGCATTCTGGCTTCACCTTCTCCAGAACAAACCTGTTTGTTTTCCTAGCAGTCCATGGTATATTCAACACTCTTCTCTAGCACCACAGCTCAAAGGCATCAATTCTCTATCACCCCTAGTCACTGTCCAACTCTCCGATGCATAGCACGTAAATGCAAAGACTATAGCCTAGATCAGGCGCACCTTAGTCTCCAGCCCGACGTTGTTGCTCTTGAGAGGTCTCTCACAGCTGACTTTCCCAATGCAATTCCTCTCTTGATTTCCTGGCTGCTGTTACCCAGGTGTTGACTGTGGAGCCAAGTAATCTATAATTGTTAACTATCTCAATCTTGTCATTATCCATACTGATGCTGCTAATTGGCCCAGTGGTAAGAATATTTGTTTTCTTGATGTTGAGCTTCAATCCATATTGAATGCTGCAGTCCTTGACCTTCTACAGCAAGCTCTTCAGGTCCTCTTCAGTTTTAGCAAGCAGGGTTGTGTCATCCACATAACGCAGGTTGTTGATGATTCTTCCACCAATTCTGATGCCACATTCCTCTTCGTACAGCTCAGCATCTCAGATGATCTGTTCTGCATACAGATTGAAAAGGGATGGAGACAGAATGCATCCCTGACGGACCCCCTTCTTGATTTTGAACCATGTAGTGTCTCCTTGTCCAACTCTCTGATGCATAACAAGTGATAGCAAAGACCATGGCTTCTATCAGGCACACCTTAGTCTCCAAAGAGACACCATTGCTCTTCAGTACTTTGGAGAGTTGGACAATGACTAAGGAGGATAGAAGGAGAATTGATGCCTTTGAGCTGTGGTGCTGGAGAAGAGTATTGAGAGTACCATGGACTGCTAGGAAAACAAACAGATTCATCCTGGAAAGGGTCAAACCGGGCTGCTCCTTGGAGGCAAGGATTCTAAGGCTCCGTCTGACATACTTTGGACATGTTGCAAGGAGGGACAGGTCCTTGCAGAGGGACATCATGCTTGGTAGGGTAGAGGGGCAGTGCAGAGGCCCCCTATGACGTGGATTGATTCAGTGGTTGGGGTAATCAGGATGGGTGTGTTGGAGACGGTGCGATTTGGCATAGGACAGAGCAGAGTTTAGGGATGTTGTACATAGGGTCACTATGAGTCACAAGCGACTCGACGGCACATAACAACAACAACAACAGTGTCTCCTTGCTCTTACTGCCTCTTGGTCCAAGTATAGGTTTCGTATTACCACAATCAAATGTTCTGGAATTCCCATTCTTCTGAGTCAGCCACATCTTGTTGTGATCCACATAGTCAAAAGTCTTTGCATAGTCAAGGAAGCACAGATAGACATTCTTCTGGTATTCTTTGCTTTCTACCAAGATCTATCTAACATTAGCTATAATATCCCTAGCAGCACTACCTCTTCTAAATCCAGCCTGCACATCTGGCAGTTTTCTGTTGACATATTGCTCCAAACATTTATTTCTAACTAGTCATGATAACTCAGGGTTTCAGAAAGAAGCAGTAAACTGGCAAAGAATAAGGTATGAGTACAGAATGTCTACAATGAGAGACTGAAAAGATGAGGCTGAATAATTTTTTGTAACATAAAAGACATATCTTATTTGTGTTTAAGCCAAGTTTCAGAGCATATTTTGCTGCTGTTTTAATGTACTCTATCTATGAGACTATAAGGGAGCTCTGGTGTCCTAGTGGTAAGGAGTTTTCCTACCAACCCAAAGGTAGGCAGTCTGGATGCAAAGCCGCTCTATGAAAGAAAGACAGGCAGTCTCCTCCTGAGGGATTCACATCCTCTGAAAATCCCTGGACGATCAGCTACGAGTCAGTTCTGACTCAGGGAAACATAACAACATGAAACTATAACAAGAGCCTTAGTGGCGCTGCATGCTAAGCATTGAGCTGGAAATCAAAAGGTAAGCAATTCAAACCCACTATCCACCCTAAGGGAGGAAGATAAGGCAGTCTGTTCATATATATATATAGTCTCAGAAACCATACGAGACAGTTCTACTGTTTGGTAGATTTTTCAATTGTGATTTTAATGTAAGTTTACAGAGACGTTGGATTTTCATTCATTTATTGTTGCACATTTTACTCTCTTCCCCTCCCTTTTCCCTCTCCCAACTCACTTTGTAATGCACCTGTTGTTCCAAATGGTTATATATACAATGCCTAATTATAGATTCCTTTCAGACAGTCCTTCCCCTCATCTGTTCCAGTGCAGGTCCATTATCTAGCCACTATGTTACTGTTCTCTCACCATGTCTATTCTACTTTATAAGAGTGGTATTATGCAGTATTTGTCCCTTTGGACTGAGATATTTCACTCAGCATCGTGTCTTCCAGACTTACCCATGTTGTATGGCATTTTACAAATTCACTTTTTCAATGCTGTATAATATTCCAATGTGTGAAATTAGCACAGTTTTTTCCTATTCATTTGTTTGCTGATGGGCTGCTTCCATCTCTTTGCTACTGTGAATAATGCAGCAATAAACATGGGTATATATACATCTGTTTTGAGTCATGGTTCTCACTTCTTTAGGGTATATTCCCAGTAGTGGGACAGCTGGGTCAAAAGGTATTTCTATTTCCAGCTTTTTGAGAGTGCACCAGACCACCTTCCATGAGGTTGTACAATTTTACATTTCTGCTTAACAGTGAATTAGAATTACAAATTCTCTCCACATTCTTCCTAGCATTTGTTGGTAGTTTCTCTGTTAACTTGCACTATTCTTGCTGGGATGTTATGACATCTCACCATTGTTTCTACTTTGTTCTTATAATGTTGCTATGAGATGAAACCAACCAACAACCAGTGTTTGGCTTTATTTAACATACATGACAAAGTGAAAAGAATATGAATTTTACTAATAAACCACGCTAGGCTCAAATTCCAGTTTTGCAATTTATAAACTGTGACCTTAGGCAAATCAAGATTCTATAATTTACCTTAATAAAAAGCGGAAAGAATAAAATGGGGGAGGCAGTAAGGAGGAAAGTAAAGCTCCTTGGCATACAGTATTTAGCACAGGTCCCTTGTGAGAATTAATTATATGAGAGCCTATGATAAGCCTAATGTATCATCTGTTGAACAGGTACTTAAAATATTCAAAATTTCCCTTCCCCATGTCACTAGAAATAGTTATATTTAGGTGTACTGATTGGGGAGAAGTTGTAAGCATTGGTAAATTGGGAAAACTTTAAAATTATCTTCTAAATGCAGGGACTTTAAAGCTTTACTGCATGGGTAAGTATCTAAGGAAGTGTCAGTCCTTGGAAAAAGACATAATACATGGAAAGTAGAGGGTCACTGAATGAGAAGACTCATCCTGAGATGGACTGACAGAGTGACTGCAACAATGGGTTTCCACACAGTAGAGACTGTGAGGATGACACAGGGATCTGCTGGTCAATAATAACATCTATGAATATGCTAAAACTAAATTATTCATCATAATGAGAAACTATAGTCACAGATTGATAATATAAAAATGGATTCTGCACCATTTCTCTGAATAGACAAATAACTCAGTTATAATATTTCACAATAATAAGGATTATAGTAGAGACATTTTTGCCTGCATAGTGGACCCACAGTATTCATACCAGTGGTAACATTAACTACAGCCAATGGGTTCTATTTTTGCTTACTTATTTATTTATTTGTATGTATGCATAACATGTCATTACATACAAATCACGCTGTGGGATAAATGAAGCACACTGGTTAAATGATGATTCACAACTAAACTCATCTAGCATCTCAACTTCTTCTGAAGATATAATAATATTACAAATTATTAGATTTTAAGAGATTTACTTAGGTCTATATTTAGATGCCACAATTTAGAAAATGAGGAATCTGAAAATGCATCTGAAACTAAGGAACAAAATAGCCTATTTTCTTCAGTAATATCAAAGATGCACAGCAAAGTTCCAGAAATCTGTTATATGAACTTTAAATGGATTATCTACACTAGGGAGCTCTAGTGGTGTAATCTGTAGGAAGTCGTGCTATTAACCCAAATGCAGTGCCTCTCTAGTGGTTCAAATCCATCATAAACTCCTCAGAAGAAAGCTAGGCAATCTTCTAGTGCAATGTACAGCCTCCTGACAAATTTGCTGGGAGTTCTGGCTAGACAGCAATGAAATCCCTATGTTGGAATGAAAACCTATTGTTTCCACACCTGTGCACTTGGTACATTCACTAGAAGAAGGGGACAAAATTAGAAAGATTCTCTTTCAAGGACTAGAATGAATTATGCATACCTTAGAATTCTTTTCATTTTGTTTCTGTTGTTGACTGAAGGAAACACATTTTCTCGCAATATATTCTTTTTAAAAAGAATATTTTGAAATCTCTAATTTATTGGATAGTTAATCTGTCATAACCTTTATAATACTCAGATTCTAACTTTTTAAAAAAATTTTTATTATCTTTTTGTGTGTGTGTACTGTCAAATTTGATCTGGCTAGTACAGGAGGAGATTGCTCCTCCTTTTCCAGCAGAGTAACTGGTGGATTTGAACCACGTGCCTCTGGGATTGCAGTGAAGCTTCTTGACACTAGGCTACCAGAGCTCCCCCAGAATTTAATTTTAAAATGTATGGGCATTTATTTCCTTTTTTGTCCAATGATCCTAAACATAACCAGGTGATTATAAGGTTAGTTTAAAAGGAAGGTTCTATCATCTTCAGAGAGAAAAATTTAATGAAGAAACCCTTGATGAACATCAATACCTAACTTTATATTTATGAAAAGTTGTTCCTGCGTAGTTTGAACCCACCCACAGGAATCTCCTGTTACCTCCTTTATTAATCTGGTTTCACAACTCAGCTTCTGAAATGTCACACCTTGAAAGCCCTATGCAACAGTTCTACACTGCACACCTGAATCACCACAAATTGTAACTGACTTACTTAACCAACAACAATAGTATGCATGAAAAGAGAGTTAAAAAGGAATTTGCATCAGTAAGATCATAAAGAAACTATAGAGAACAGACAGAACCTAAAGAAGAGTCATTCTGCAATCTCAAGTGATGGTAGTTCTGTGACAAGTCAGCCCTCTTCTTATACCTTCTTTATCTGGTTTCACAATTCAATAAAAAGCTACCATTTAAGACATTTATTGACTTGAGGCAGGAACAGTTTTCTGTATTTCCCATCATTACTAAGAAAAATCTTAAAGAACCAAAAGATCAGAGGTTTATTTATAAGACAGACAAATAAGCACACTGAGTTTTACAGACACCCTCACCTTTTCACCCGAGTAACTTACTTTAGGTCACATATTACCGCATATACTCTTCCCAATTTGTCCTGGCTATAACCCTGAAAGTTGAATTTATTGTTCCTGTCCAAGTACTCAGGTAAAACTTCTAGAAGAGTTTCAGTAATGACAGAAATAACATTCTGCTCTTCAATAAGATGTCGAGCCTGCAGAATATTTCAAGAATATGTCTTTAGCATTAACTCATCAAAGTATGGACTTTATTTACTCATTTTGTTGGTTAGAAACTCACTCTTAATGTTTATTGGTCATTAAACAGTCCTTTGTTTAATAGGTTAGCAATTATTGAAGTTATTTTAGAAAACTAAAAATGTCTATTTGTCAATAGGAAATTTGTGCGAACACTCTGGTCAGTTATACATACTGGTTTATCTACTTATGTGTTGTAAATAATCACACAGCGAGAAAGTAGAACAAATAATATTACCAGTACACCTCTAACTATTCTAGTATTCCCCTCCCACACAATTTCTCTTTTTTATCCTTTACCACAGTCTTTTGAAAAGGAATAGTTAAACAAAATGATCAGAAACAAACAGGTAAAAAAAATTAGTACAAAAAAAGCAATCTTCACTTTTTTTCCAGGCCCATCCAATACCACTACAAGTAAGTGTTTGATAGTCATAACTCTCTCTTTTCTTACAGAGAAAATTTGCTTTCTATTTAACAAACCATACATTTTATTTTATGATATTGATTGCAATCCTTACAGTGTAATAATACTCTTCTCACTTCCTCCATGGTTTTCCCATTTACACTTGTTTATCTTTTCTGTCCCTCTCCTACACCATATAAGCTTTGTTCTAGGATAAGTAATGTCATTTTGATCTATATTGAGGAATATATATCTCCTGGTATGAATCACTTTATATGTTTGCCTATACTTTGATTTATACTTAGGGATGGTTCAATGAAAAGCCTTCAGTGGTTCTGCTTCTCACTTTTTTATTTCTCTGATTTATCTACCAAAGAACAGTAAAAACATTTTGTTTTGGTAGAAGCAGCAGTTCTCCTAAATTACACAAGAAACTTAGACACTGCTTCTGGCTCTGACTTGTAGGTATCAGGATATTTGGACAAAGAATCTTGTCACTGTCAATTCACAAATTCTCTAGGTGATGGATACTACTAAAGTATTACTCAATTTTCTAAATGGAATTAGCTCAACTTAGTGATCACTTTACTTTGATTCAACACTAAGTAAAAGTTTAAAAAGCAAAACAATTATATTTAGAAAAAATACACAGAAATCATCAATACATACCAGAGTAGGAACAGTAAACATCTGTACTGAAAGTGCAGTTATAGAGATACTTCTGTCATGATCATCACTGATATAATCCTTCTGCAATTGTTTGTAATACTGAAAGACATGAAAAGAATGTATTACAAATCACTATTAACAACATTTTAGTTCCAGTTTTAGTAGGTGTGAGCTTTTCTCTATAAGATGAAAGGTAATAAAATTCCTATCTACTATGATAATATCATAATCAACAAAATATATTCCAAGCAGTCAGAAAGAAAGTGACAAACAAAAAGTAAGTGTGACTTCAGCTATTCAAGCTAATTGAGCACCAAACTGAAAAATAGAAACTAAAAAAAAACCCCACACAAGCAAAAATCACTGGCAGACTGCAACAGTGCAGTATAGTATATACAATCTTTAACAGATATTATTTCTTGGTATGCTGTTGTTGTCATATGCCATTGAGTTGGAACTGACTCCTAGCTGATCCTCTAGTGTGTTTTCGAAGGTTATACATCTCATGGGAGGAGACTGACTATTTTTTTTTGTCGTGGAACTGCAAGTAGATTCGAACCTGGTGCCTTTGGATTGGCAGAGTAACTCTTTACTTACTAGGCCACCAGAGCCCCCTATTCCCTAGTATAACGCAAGAGTTAAATTCAATGTATTTAACATCTGATATAACTTGGAAAACAAATCCCTCAAGTCCAATGAAGGTAATAAAATTGGTACTGACTGTAAATAACTATTCATTTGTGCCAGTACAAAACAGCTAAAAATCAGTCATGATATGGTAGCAGAATAAAAACATTAACACCCATATCTATTATTTATATTAAGAACATTACGCATCATAAATATATCAAGTATCTACTATGTATAAGAATAGTGTTGACACATGACCTACATATTTAATTTTACCCTCTAGAAGTCCTACAAAATTTCAATGACCATGATGTACAACAAAATATCATGTGAACATGGAAATTACCCTGCATATAAGGATTTTCAGTTTAGATCACAAATATAAACCAATATTTTATCTCTAAAGAGTTTTAGAAGAATACAGTAAACATCTTTGCCATCATCTTTCAAGAATGAGACATATATCAACTGTCTTAGAAGACTTTAGCAACCTACTAATAAAATCTAGGGAGTATGTATAACTTATCCCACAATAGCATAATCACTATTTCTTTCTCTCTTTCTAATCCTATTCTGAGTCCTAACCCTGAACTTGTCCTAGAACTATTTCCAATTTAAAAACAGAGAAAGCTGAGCAGCAAGGAGAGTGCCTCGAGGGTGCACCATCAAGGACCCCACCTGGCAGAAGACCTATGCTTCTCACTTCCTGAACTGGAGCACCACAATGCGATGGAAGAAGTAAACAACTTCAAACTCTGAATAAAACCAAAGCATGCTGTCACTCAAAAAAACTGATCAAGACAAAATGTCAGTGGAATTCTTGGAGGTGGAAAGACTGATATAATTTCCTGCAATGGAATTCAAAAGAACAATCATCAAGTATATGAACTGAATCAAAGAAAAAAAATACAAGATATAAACAAAACCCTAGAGAACTCAAAACAGCAATAAAAGACAAAGCAGATAAAACAAACAAAGCACTAGAAATCATAGGAAAACAAGAAACACCAACCCAGAATAATAAGATCAACATTTTACAAGCTGACAAAATGGTCAGATGAACAGAACTGAAGAGATGGAAGACAGAAATCAGTCAAACAGAAGACAAAGCACTCAGCGCAGATGCGCTAGAGCAAAGAGCAGAAGCAAAAAGGAAGAACTCTGAAGAAAACCCAAGAAAAATGTGGGATAACATAAAGAGAAATAACATTAAGTGTAATTGGAATTCCAGAACAGGAAGGAATGGAAAAAGAAAAAGGGGGGGGTGAATAAAAAATATCACAGAAGACTTACCAGAAGACAATTTGCAAGGTATCATGAAAAATGAGAGAATGTACATCCAAGAAGCTGAGCAAATCCCAAACAGAATAGACTCCAAAATTAAAACACTAAAGCCTATCAATCAAATTCACCAGAATCAAAGACAAGGAAAGAAAACATCTAGAGAAAAAAGAAGAATAACCTATAAAATATAGCAAATAAGATTAGGCTCTGTTTTCTCAGAAGTAAAAAGACACCACAATGGCGCATACTAAACACCCAAAGAACACAACTTCCAATTGAGAATACTGTACCCAGAAAAAGAGTCCATCAAATATGATGGAGAGATCAGGATATTCCCAGAAAAGTAGAAACTAAGGGAATTCATGAAAATGGACCAATGTTGTAAGAAATACTAAAAGAAATCCTTCCATATAGACATCACAGAAAATGAGTAGATCAAAGTAAACCAGCAACAACAACAAAGAAGAACCAAAAAGATAACACCAATAAAATCTTGCCTCTCGATAACGGCACTGAATGTTAATAGTTTAAATGCACTAGTGAAGAAGAAAAAAAAAAGAGGGTAGCAGATTGGATAAATAACCCAAAAGCCCATCAATATAATGCCTATGAGAACACACTTGAGAAACAAAGATATAGAGACTCAAACTCAAAGGGTAAGGGAAAATACCAAGCAAATGGCAACTAAAAAGAGCAGGAATAACAATATGATCTTTGATAAAATAGACTTCAAAATAAAAACCATTATAAATGAAAAATAAGGATACTATGTAATGCTTAAAATGTCAACAGAACAAGAAAACATAACCATAATAAATAGCTATGCATCAAATGATAGAATTGCAAAATAAACATTAACAGAATTGAAAAAAAGAAGTATAAAACAGCAAGATAGAAGTAAGAGACCACTTTCAAAGAGAGACAGGAAGACTAGACACTCAACAAAGATGCAGAAAAACTAAACTATACAATTAACCAACTCGATCCCATGGACATATACCAGGTACTCCACCCTAGAAAAGTTCAATATATATTCTTCTCCAGTGTGCACAGAGCATTCTCCAGAAAAGATCATATTTTTGGTTACAACACAAGCTCAGTAAATCAAAAACACTGGAAAAACTACAAAGCAGTTTTTCAGACCACAATACTATAAAACTAGAAATCAACAAGTGGATAAAGGAGGAAAACCATGCACTTGAAAATTAAACAAAATCTTGCTGGAACACAAGTAACTAATAGAATAAAAAAAAAAAAAGCACATCACACTCTTTAAACCAATGAGAATGAAAACACAACAAAACCTCTGGAATACAGCAAAAGAGGTACTTAGAGGTGAACTCACAGCAACAAGCAAACACATAAGAATGGAAAAAAAATTAAAATAAACGAATATTAAATGATCCAGGAAGTAGTAAAAGAAGATGGAAAGAATACACTGAGTCACTGTATCGAAAAGAATTGGCAGACACAGAAGAATTTCATGAAACAACTTATGAGCAAGAGCCTATGGTGATAAAGGAAGAAGTTCAAACTGCTTTGAAGGAAATAGCAAAAAATAAGGCCCCAGGAATAGATGGTATACCAACTGATATATTTCAGCTAACAGATGCTGCCCTGGACGTGCTCACCAGGTTGTGCCAAGAAATCTGGAGAACAACCACCTGGCCAACTGACTGGAAGACATCTATCTATATTTGTTCCCATCCCAAAGATTGGTGATCCAACAGAGTGTGGAAACTATAGAACAATATCATTAATTTCACATGCAAGCAAGATTCTATTGAAGATTATCCAAAAATGACTAGAACAACACATCAGCAAAGAACTGCCAGAAGTCCAGGCTGGGCTTAGAAGGGGTCATGGTACTAGGGATATTGTAGATAATGTTAGATGGATATTGGCTGAAAGCAGGGAATACCAGAGGAATGTATATTCATTGACTATGCAAAGGCGTTTGACTGTGTACATCATAACAAACTGTGGCTGACTCTGAGAAGAATGGAAATACAGAACACTTGATCTGCTAATGAGAAACCTATACTTGGACCAAGAAGCAGTCGTCAGAACAGAGCAAGGAAACAATGCATGGTTCAAAACTGGGAAGGGCGTATGCCAGGGCTGTGTCCTGTCTTCATACTTTTTCAACCTGTATGCAGAACAGATTATCTGGGAGGCTGGGCTCTATGAGGAGAAATGTAGGGTCAAGATTGGTGGAAGATCTATCAAAAATCTGGGATATGCAGATGACATAACCCTGCTTGCTGAAACTGAGGAGGACCTGAAGCACTTGCTGCAGAGGGTCAAGGACTGCCACCTCCAATATGGATTGAGGCTCAATGTCAAGAAGACAAAGATTCTCACCACTGGGCCAATTGGCAGCATCAGGATGGATGGCGAAGAGATTGAGATTGTTCACAGCTTCAGTTTGCTTGGCTCCACAGTAAACACTCTCGGCACCAGCAGCCAGGAAATTAGAAGATGTATTGCCATGGGAAAGTCTGCTGTTAGGGACCTCTCCAAAGTACTGAAGAGCAATGGTATTTCTCTGCATTTGATACAGTCTTTGCAATCACTTGTTATGCATCAGAGAGTTGGACAATGACTAAGGAGGATAGAAGCAGAATTGATGCCTTTGAGCTGTGGTGAAGAGTATTGAGAATACCATGGACTGCTAGGAAAACAAACAGATTCATCCTGGAAAGGGTCAAACCAGGCTGCTCCTTGGAGGCAAGTATTCTAAGGCTCCATCTAACATACTTTGGACATGTTGCAAGGAGGGACAGGTCCTTGGAGAAGGACATCATGCTTGGGAGGGTGGAGGGGCAGCGCAGAAGGGGAAGGCCCTCTATGAAGTGGACTGATTCAATGATTGGGGTAATCAGGATGGGTGTATCGGAGACAGTGCAATTGACACAGGACAAAGCAGAGTTTAGGGATGTTGTACACAGGGTCACTATGAGTCGCAAGTGACTCGACGGCACATAACAACAACAATATTTAACCCTATATCTCCAGCAAATAAATAATGAACAGAAAGCAAACCCAACAGCCTCTAATAGAAAGGAAATTATTAGGTATCATTGAGTAAAGCATGACTGTGACTCTACGAACAGTTGACCTGAACCCTGCCCTATCCTGTGCCATTCTCATCTCTGACACACTAGAGCCTAAGGCTGAAGTCATTCTGTCAGTCTTCCTCCTTGGAGGTCTTCCTCCCCTTTGTTGAACCTTTATCCTTCTAATCATGATATACCTTTCCAAGGAACAGCCTTGCCTAATTACATGTCCAAAGTAGGAAAGACAAAGCTTTACCACCTTTGTTTCCAAGTGTAATCTGGCTGCAATTTTCATATCCATTTGTTCTTTTGGTAGTCCATGGCCATGGAATATTCAATACTTCGATACTACAACTCGAAAGCATCAACTCTTCTGTCACCCTTACTCAATGTTCAGCTCTCTGATGCATAGCAGGTGACTAAGTACACCTTAGTCTTCAAAATGAAATCACTGCTCTTCAGCATTTTGGAGAGTAAATACTCCCATGTGATGTACAGCCTCCTAAAATCTGCTGAAGGGTCAGCTATGAGGTGGTTCACTCATAGAGTATATTAATACATAACAACAACAACAACTGCCTATTATGTCTTTACATAAACAGTAGAGCAGAAAGAATGTAATAGAAAACAGGAAAACAATTGAGATTATCAATAAGACTAGGAGTTAGTTTTTCAAAAGGGTCAACAGAAATCAGCAAACCACTGGCAAATTTAACAAAGGACAGTAATCCTGATAAGAAATGAATGGGGTGACATCACAATAGAATCAACTGAAACAAAAAGGATAACAGAATTTTATTAAAAGCTACACTCTAGGGCAAGCTCCTCCTGTGCCAGTTGGATCTGATTTGACAGTACAACAAATAAAAAATAAATATTTTTTTTTTAAAAAGCTATACTCTAACCCTAAAGAAACCAGCACTGCCAACCAAACAGATATATGCTCACCTATGTTTCATGCTTCATGTTCACAGTAACAAAGAGATGAAAACAACCCAAATGCCCATCAGCAAAAAAATGAATAGAGAAGTTGTGGTATAGTCACATAATGGACTTATACAGCACTGAAAATAAGGAACTCATAAAATATTATACAAAATGGGTGAAACTGGAGGACATTATGCTGAGTGAAATTCGGTTACAAAAGGACAAATACTGCATAGTACCACTGTTATAAACCAGGACTGACATGGGGGTTAGAGGGTAACTAAGAAAAGAGGGGATAAATAATGTACATTGCATTGAAACATATGAGAAAAAAATTGTCTAAAAGAAATATATGATTAGGTATTATTTGCATGACAGCAGTCCAGAATAAGAGGTTCATAACAAAGTGGACATGGGGTGGGAGGAGAGAGGAAACTATGCAACAATGAAAGATTATTTTTTTAAAGAGACAAGTGAACTGGGAGTGCAGGGGGTATAGGGAGGAAAATGTGCAAAACTGAATGAATGGAAATCCAAGTTTTCTGTTAAAATCTCAATTAAAAAGAACAAATCTGGGACTTATTAAAAAAAAGCTATGCTCTAACAAATAAGAAAACCTAGAAGAAATGGACAAATATTTAAAAATGCAAAACAAGCCCACACTGATATAAAGTGAAGAACACCTGAAAGACCCATCACAAAAGAAGAAATTGTGCAAAGTCATAAAAAAACTTCCAACAACAATGAAAATCCTGCATCAGAAGACGTGACAGCAAATTTCATCAAACACTCAGAGAAGAGCTGCCACAAATTCTATATAAAAGTATTTCAGAAAATTGCAAAAAATTGAATACTCCCATAATCACTCTATGAAGCAAATATAACCCTTATACTACCATCAAGTAAAGATATCACCAAAATAGAAAACCAGACAAGTATCTCTCATGAACATAGAGGCAAAAATCCTTATAACAAAATCCTAGCCAATAGATAGAATCCAACAACATTTTAAAAGACTAGTATATCTTGACCAAAGGGGATTCCTAACAGGTATGCAGAAATTGTTCAACATAAGAAAAACAATTAATGTAATCCATCACATGAACAAAATAAAGGTTAAGACCACATGAGAACCTCATTGATGCAAAAAAGGCTTTTGACAAAATCTAAAACACTTTCTTAATAAGTACACTCAATAAAATAGGAATAGAGGAAAATTTCCTCAACATAATTAAGGGCATGACACTCCCATCCTGAGAATTAAGAAGGGTAATTAATGAGGTAGTACTGAAGAGAGAACCATGGTGAGTAATGTGTATTGGGCTAGTAACTGAATAGTCAATGGTTGTAGTCCAGCTGTCATAAACATGAGATGCAGAAACTGTCTTTACATTACCATTTCTTGTGATAACTTTATTGTTGTTGTTGTTGCTGTTATGTGCCGTCGAGTCGCTTGCAACTCATAGCGACCCTATGTACAATAGCCCTAAACTCTGCTCTGTCCTGTGCCAATCGCACTGTCTCTGACACTCCCATCCCGATTACCCCAATCACTGAATCAATCCACCTCATAGAGGGCCTTCTCCTCCTGCGCTGTCCCTCCACCCTCCCAAGCATGATGTCCTTCTCCAAGGACCAGTCTCTCCTCACATGTCCAAAGTATGTTAGACGGAGCCTCAGAATCCTTGCCTCCAAGGAGCCACCTGGTTTAACCCTTTCCAGGACAAATCTGTTTGTTTTCCTAGCAGTCCATGGTATTCTCAATACTCTTCTCCAGCACCATAGCTCAAAGGCATCAATTCTCCTTCTATCCTCCTTGGTCATTGTCCAACTCTGTGCGATTGGCACAGGACAGAGCAGAGTTTAGGGCTGTTGTACATAGGGTCGTTGAGTCGCAAGTGACTCGACGGCACATAACAACAACAACACTGTAAACCAACAGCCAACATCATTCTCATTGGAGAAAGATTAAAGGCATTCCCCCTGAGAATACTGACCAGGCAAGGATGCCCACTAATCACCACTCCTACTCAATATTGTATTAGAAGTGGTAGTGAAAGCAGTAAGACAAGAGAAGGAAATAAGAGACATCCAAATTGTCAAATAGGAGGTAAAATGTGATATATGCAAATTATATAATAATCTACTTGGGAATCCCTAAGAATCTGCAAGTAACTGTTGGACATAGGCAGCCAACTCAGCAAAGTAGCAGGATACAATATCAATATTTAAAAAATCAGCCAGATTTCCCTACAGTAAAAAAAAAAAAAAATCGAGAACTCAGAGAAGGAACTAAGAAAAACAATACCAATTACTATAGCTCCAACAGGGTAAAATAGAAACCTACAGACTGGGGAAAAATATTTTGAAATGACAAATCTGATAAGGGATTTATATCTAGAATTTATAGACTACTCAGCACCTCAACAAGAAAAAGGTAAACAACTCAATTGCAAAATGGGCACAGGATATGAAGACAGGCTTCACCAAAGAAATATTGTTTGCCATATTCAGATGGCAAACAAACACATGAAGAAACATTCACAGTCCCTAGCTATTAGAAATGCAAATCAAAACGAGATATCATGTCACCCCAGCAATAATAGCAAAAGGTCAACAGGGCAGCAAATAGCAAATGCTGGTGAGCTTGTGAAGGGACTGGAACTCTTCATTCACTGCTGGTGGGAATGCAAAATGATATAACCACTATGGTTTTTTTTCTCAAAAAACTACAAATACCATTTGACCTAGCAATTCCACTACTGGGAATATATCCTAATGAAGCCAGAACCCTGACTCAAACAGATGTATGCACACCCAAATTTACTACAGCATTACTGACAAAAGTGAAAAGAAGGAACCAACTCAAGTGCCCATCAACAAATGAACGGAGACAAAGACTGTGGTATATATCCACACAACGAAGTATTATGCAGCACTGAAAAATAATGAACTTGTAAAACACTATAGAATATAGAGGTCTGGAAGACATTAATGTGAGTGAAATATCTCTGTCACAAGAGGACAAATACTGCATAATAGTCCTGTTATAAAAATAAAATGAAAATGATATAGGTGGAGTACAGGAAAAGAGTAGATAATAATGAACTGCACTGAAACAGATAAAGGGAAGGATTATATGAAAAGGAATGATGATTAGGCATTATATATATGACAATTAATAATCTGGAAAAAGACATGCATTACAAAGAGAATTGAGGGAGTAGTAGGGATAAGAGAAGGTTCATGTGTATCAATGAATGAATATAAACCCAATCTTTCTGTAACCTTTCACTAAAATCACAATTAAAAAACAAAATGTACTCCCTCCCCCCCAAAAAAATCCAATCAGAAGTCAAAAAGTATTTATTGGCTATCTTCAAGGATGTCCCTATCTTGTATAATCTTCTCATCTAATTTAGGAAACAGATATAAAAAATCCAACATACAAGAAGAAAGTTTTACAGTTATGTTTTAGCTTCAAACAATTAAGTATAACTCTGCATTTCTAGCTCTTCCCTAAGTCTAGCTTCAACATCTATTCCTTTTCTTTATTATGCATTTCAACTAGTCCCTTTTTCTCTTGTTACAGTTTCACTAATGGGTAAATAATTAAAAAAGGATAAATGCATGTGTGTCTATGATAAACCACCTTTGTCTGGCCTAGGTAAATATTGGGTCACTTTCTACCTATTTCCCCACACTGCTATCTTTACACTATACTACCAGTTGCCATTTGTGAATGTATTTATTTAACATAATAAACTTTTGTAGAACAAATCATAAATTTACTCTTTGATAAATAATTATCCTTTGTTTTCATTTACAAAAAATTCTATTTTATTCCTATTTATCGACATCTCTTTACATATACAGAGTAATTACCTTCACAAATTCGATAGCAAAGAGCTTTTTGTATTCCATTTCCATAAAAAAACTGCTGAAGATCAATTCATGAAGAATCTTACGGGCACCTATTGGTCATATTTTTGGGAGAGGAGGTGTATCACCAAGACAAAAAGAACATTTTAGCTATCAGAAGCGGTAAAATATTATAAAAATATTTCTCATGTAATAGACCTCAGACTCAAACATTAAAAGCATTTCATTAACACTTAATAGTTAGAATTTAAAATCAATACACATATTACCCTTGTTTATCTTTCCAGCCATGCTATCTTAATTCATTTTATTATCCCCAACCTTTCTCCATTGCTTTTCCCTCAAAACTACTCTTTTTTTAATATTCTCATTACCCTCTTTTATCTTTTGGGTTTTCTCTTAGATTTGAAAAATGAAAAGCAACTTTAATAACAATATTACTACTGAATATAAACAGAAACTACTTTTTATTGACCCTGGCTAAATGGAAGACGTACATTAAAAAACAATAGCCCTGATATTAACTCAGAAGAGTACATATTAATTGATCAATTTTACCTTGAAGTGTAACATCTGAAGAATCAAGATTACTGATTTAATAATAGGATACAAAAGAGAGTACAGATACATTTTAAGTCACAAGCAAAGCTCTACCCACCTTTATAAAGCTTTGCATCCCACAGCATTAACTTGCTTATGAGACAGGGATTCTCAGAGCCAGGTTCTTCTATAAGGCAAGCTTGACAAAAGATCTGTCTAAAGTCACCTGTAAGAAGTCACATAATTTTTATTTTTACAATATTTCTCCCAAAAGCAGTATTCTTATATTAACTTACAAAAAAAAAATAAAAAAGATTAATGGTACTACTCCAATAAGTGAACTCTGGTAGCCTAGTGATAAGAAGCTGCACTCTAATCCTAAAGGCACATGGTTTGTATCCACCAGGTGTTCTGTGGGGTAAGATGTTACATGGCAGTTTCCTCCCATGTGATTTACTGCCTCTGAAAGTCCACTGGAGGGTCAGCTATGAGACGGTTGTGACTCAATGCCACACAATAACAAAATGAACTTTAATACTTGATGTTAGGAATTGTTCTATCAATATAAAGGAGTCATTCTTTAACGGATTAAGAGACAAAAATATTTTGTTTTTCAACACACTCTTTTATTGATTTGGATACAACAATTTGTTTATAATGTGTTTCATTCATGTATGTAGTTTTGGTTTTTTATCCCCTCCCTTCACCCATCAAATTCTGCAAGCCCATGATTTCACCCCCTCCTTCAACTTCCCTGACCCTTCGCCTTCCCTCTTGGTTATCTTCCTGTTTTTACAATAATGGTCTTATATAGTATTTATTCTCATGCATCTGAGTTAGTTCACTCGGCATAACACTCTCTAGCCGCTCCCATGTTACATAGTATTTTTCCAAATTGTTGCTCCCGAGTGCTGCATATTCCATAGTGTGAACGTGCCACTGGCTGTTTCCATTACTGATATTGTGAATAATGCTGGTATAGAACATCTGTGTTCAAATCTCCGTTTGTGTCTCAGTTCTGTTTGCCTTGGGGTTTATTCCTAGCAGTAGAATAGCTGGGTCATATGGAATCTCTATGTTCAGGTTTTTAAGGGAATGCCAAACAGCCTTCCAGAGAATTGTACTATTTTATAATCCCACCGACAGTGTATGAGAGTTCAAACCTTTCCACATTCTAACATTTATTGCTTGATGTCCTGTTAAACTTTGACAGTACAACTGGGATGAGATGGTATCTCACTGTGGTTTTATTTGCAGCTCTCTTACTACCAATGATTTTGAGCATTTCTTCATGTGACTGTTAGTCGTCCAAATGTCTTCCTCTGTGAAAGGTCATTCTTTATCTTTTGCCCATTTTGTAATCAGTCTTTTTCTTGTGGAGGCTCCATAATATTTTCCTTATGAGACCCTTGTCTGAGATATCATTGCCAAACATTTCTCAAGTCATTAGGATCTCTTTCCCCCTTTTTGGAAAAAGCTTTGGGCTTTTAAAAAAAAATACATTTTTTTATTTTATACTTATTTACTTACAAAATTCATATACATTATTTTTCACACTGGATCTTTCCCATTTCCTTTACCCAGCCCTCCCTCCACCCATCAAATTGTGTGACCTTATGATTAACCACCCCACCACCACTGCCCATCTTCACCCCTCTGTTCCCACCTTCCCCCTTTGGATCCTCATATTCATTGTATAGTAATGGTTTTACATAGCATTTGTCCTTATGGGACTGAGTTAGTTCACTCAGGATGATGCTCTCCAGTCTCTCTCAATTTAGGTAGTCATTTACAAAACTATTGTTCCTCTGTGCTGCATAGTATTCTATCATGGGAATATACTCTAATTTCTCAATCCATTTGATTGTGGTTGGACATCTGCAATGTTTCCATGTTCTAGCAAGGGTGAATAATGCTGGTTATGAACATTGGTGTACAAGTCTCTGTTTGTGCCTCAGTTCTCATTTTCTCAGGGATATATTCTAAGCAGTGGAATAGCTGGGTCATATGGTATTTCTATGTTCAGCCTTTTGAGGATACATCAAACTGCCTTCCAGAATGGTTGTACCATTTTATGATCCCATCAACAGTGTATAAGAGTTCCTATCTTACCATCTTCTCTAACATTTATTGCTTGCTGTCCTGTTAAAACTTTGCCACTGCTACTGGAGTGAATAGTATCTCAATGCGCTTTTGATTTGAATCTCTCTTATTGCCAGTGATTTGGAACATTTCTTCAGGTGTCTATCAGTCATCCAAATATTTTCCTCTGTGAAAATTCTTCCCCTTTTTTAGCCCACTTTGTAACTCTGTTATCAGTCTAAAAAAAGACATTTTTATAGTATTTAAAATGCAATCTTAAAAATTAATCAAAGTGTATAAACTGAAGAAAACAAGAAATTTTATTTGATACTCAATGACAGTTTAATTTGTGACTATGAAAACCAAAAGCATTTCACAAGGTAAATAGAAAATTAGAAAAATAAGCTATAAACTTACTTGAATAGCTCATAATTTTGTTCAACCAGGAGCCAAGACGCAAAGCAAATTTCTGATGAGCCATAACCTCAGAATGCAATACTTCTACATGAAGTGGATGTTGAGAGACATTTTCTGAATGACTCTATAAGTGAAACAATTTTTTTAAATATAGTTTTAATTTTGCTTTTAACTAAGTGGTCTATTTTTCCAAAAGGGAAATCAGGTACCCCTCACTTACTGTTATTCTTGTTGTTACGTACTGTAGAGTTGAATACAACTCATAGCAACCCTATGAACAGCCATTCTGAAATCTGCTCTATCCTGTGCCATCCTCATTATCTCTGACACATCTTGCTGAAGTCATAGTGTCAATCCATCTCGTTTTGGGTATTCCTCTGCTTCACTGACTATCTTTCCAAGAATAATGTCTCTTTCTAAGGAATAGCCTTACTTAGCTACATGTCCAAAATATGAAATGAAGCTTGGTCATCCTTGTCTTCAAAGAATACTCTAGCCACCCTCCTTCTAGGACATACATGGGTTTTTAGGTTTGGGGTTTTGTTGTTATTTTTGGGCAGTCCTGGGGATATTCCAGTACCACAACTTAAAGGCATCAATTCTTTGTCGATCATTCTTATTCATTGTGCTGTCTCTGATGTATAGCAGATGACTGAGAAGACCAAGGCCTGAATCAGACAAACCTTAGTCTTCAAACAGATTCACTACTCTTCAGTATTTTGAAGAGGTCCCTGACTGCCTAATCTAATACATCTCCTGATTTCCTGACTCCTGGAACCAAGGGTGTTGATTGTTGATCCAAGGAAGATTAAATCATTGACAGCTTCAATCTTTTCTCCATCTATTGTAATGTTGACTAATGGGCCCTCACTGGAGTTCTCAAAAATCTCTAAGCCTAAATGACCCAACTCTTAACTTTCATTTTTCTTAAGATGCCTAACTATCTAATATTTCCATTTGGGTTCAAATTTTCTCTTAAAATTCTCTTCTGCCACCAATGTGGAAAATTACCTTTATATCTTCTTTTGCCTCCTGGCAAGCAGCATAGATACCTGCTTTCACAGCCCGACGACCCTAATTATAGAAAAAAAAAATTAGAATTAAGTAGTGGAATGACAACACAAATCTATATAAAAATGTTATATAAAAATGAAAACCTAATGAGCTCTCAATTATTGTGTACTTACTGTCTCAAAGTATTAAATGAGACAGTATCTGAAAATTAGATGTAAATGTTTAACATCTTTATGAAGCATCAGAACTTTCAATACCTGCAACAGATAATTTCTATAGTTTAGGATGCTAAGTTTCTATCCTGGCAAGAATGTCAGTTCCTTATTTATTGTGGTGTATCATATTTAGAACAGATAATAACAATAATCTATGAAATTCTGCCCAATCCTGCACCAGCCTCACAATCTCTCTGTGCATTAGCGCTTGTTACAGCCAATACCAAGGCATCAATTCAAAGGATCAATTCTTCTTTAGTCTTCCTATTAGTTTTCTAACTTTCTTATGCATAAGGCAACTAAAAATCATGGCTTTAGTCTTTAACACTTGCTCTTTTCTCATTTTCTTTGCCTCTTTCTTGCCCCAATCTCCTATCTTATCCTCTTCCTTTTCTTGTCTTTCTAAGTCTTCACTTTTCTTGACTTTTTTCAGAACTGCCTTACTTATCTCTTATTTTTCTCAATCTTAATTATTGATAAGTACAGCTTTCAACCGTTCCTCTTCAAAGTCATTCATACCTGTATGCTACTTACTCCATACAATAAATCTGACTTGAAAGATCTACCAGCTACAAAGCATCAAAAGAAAATGAGGTAATTCATAATTGTTAACACAATAATCTGGAAAAACGGTAATCTGAGACCAGCAAGCCAGTAACAAAGACTTGTTATCAAACTCCTAACTTGACTTCATCTTAAATAAACAGGTCATCCAAAACTTGGGAGAAAATGAAGTTTATATTTATAAGGTGATCTTATCAGTGAATAATTGATACCTTTAGTCAGTGAGCAAAGAGAAATGCTGAGTAACACTCATCCAATTAAAAATGTGGACTATGAAACAGCAGCATCAACCTTACCTGGATGCTTATTAGAAATGCAGAAAGTTCCTGCACCAAACCCACTAAATCAAAATAATTTTTAACAAGAGTGTCACATGATTCATATACACAGTAAAGGATTAAAAACATCACTTAAATCTAAAAATCAGAGGTAGGTGAAATGGGGAATAGGTGCCAACATACCAATCTTGAAATGGGATTGTGAATTGGAGATAAGAGACTCGATTTCAAAGTGTGAGATAATGCATATATAATTTGAGACACCACATCTGAGACATGTAAAGGCTTGATAATTTTGGCTACTATTACTATTAACTGTTCATACACTTTACTTTCTCTCACTTGTTTGCACTTTCATTAATGACTTAAGATATTAATAAGAAATACAATTGAAAGTCAATCACATGTTTTAACAGAATGTATGTTTAAAATAGTACATAAGGAAAATTTTTAATTCCTAATTTCATGCTGCTTCTTCAACTCTCAAGAGAATTGTTTATTTCACTTTAGGTGAATGTTAAATAAAAGTTGAGTGAATAACTTATTTTAAAATAGCAATAATAAAACTTTTAATAATTCATGCATGTATCTATTCACTCACTTAAAAAATTATAGGAGTTGGTTAGAGTTCATTGATATTCTCAATGAGGCTTAGCCAAATGTATTCAATGGTCTACTAGGAGAACAATTCAATATGGTAATTTCCTAATTATTTAGAATAAAAATGGAGAACTTATAGCTTTTAAAAACTGTAAAACACACACATACAAACCAAAGTTCTATCAATTTACCTAAGTTTCAAAGGAAAAATTGGAGAGTATGGCTATACTTAACAAAAGACTAAGGCACGTGGCAAGAGCTTAGTAAACACCTGCCTGCCAGGAAGTTGATGTAAGACAGTAACATAATTCATATGCCACTCACAAACCTCTTTGTCTATGGCGGTGGTATGCAACTGGGCCTCCGCAAGCTCACAGTCAAGAGCTCTCTGTAGACTATATATGACATGGTCATATGAATGGTGTTCATCATTGAAAAGGACACAATAGTATCTTTCATTTTTCTCCCTGTTTGAAAAAATACAAGTACATGAGCCACTGCAACAAATAAACAAAGGAAAATGTTAAAATAATATATAAAATCTTCAATGAAGCAGCTTTATGTAGTGTCCTATATGTAGGGAAGTAATACTGTAATAATGATTTAGGAAATACTTCTAAGTGTTACAGTGCTACAGAATGAAAATAATCTTTATAGAAGTATTACTTTATCCTTTTCATTCCATATCTTTCTGATTATAGTGTTTGACCAAGGCAGACAAAAAATCACAGGAAAAAATCTTGGGAGACTGAGGTTCAAAGATTTATTCATGGTCAAAATGCCAATAGCAGGTAAGAGAGACTAAAATTCAAATCTATAAATCCAGAATCAATTGCTACCTATTTAAATGCACACCCACACTCAAGCAGCTCTCTCCTTTATTTGCAGACTGCTAGCATTATGCTCACTGGCACAAAATTTCTTAAAGGCTTTAACTGAGATTCTTACTCCTTTGAAATTAAATTAAATTCCTGTGGAAACAAGCTCTTCATGATCTTTACTTCCCCAAATGATCTATAACCCACTATGAATAGAAATAATAAACTTGCTATGTTTATACAAAATTCTTAGTTTTCTCCTTCCAAAAGCAGAACAGACAAAATTGCACAAACTGAAGAACAACAATATTTAGATCCAAATTCTTAAACTCACTGCCATTAAGTCTATTTTAATATCATATTTCTGAGGCAATAAATATAAATTTTAACAAGAGGAGACTGTCCCCATCATTTTTCCCTCAGAGCTTCTGGGGGATTCAAACTGTTAAAGATGTGTGTCTTGGTTAGCAGTGCAACATGTTACAGACTATACCATCAGAGTTCATAATATTTAGAAAGGTGCTAGAATTTTATGAACTATTAAAAAGCCAATTATTTATATAATTAATTATATAAAATACAATTATTCTTAATATTACACAGGGAGAGGAAAAACCAAAGGCCAACTTTAATAATATTTTCAGAATTTTGTATTTTTAAGGTAAGAACAAATAGTAATGTTACTACAAGATCATGACTGTTTGGAACTCTTGCTTTTTAACAAAAAAATTTTTAAATCTCTGTAAGTACAATAATCCCAGACATCAAAGTACAGGCAAAAGGCTTAACTTTTCTTAATGAAGAAAAGAGCCAGAGACCTTCACCTCAGAGAAATGAAGTACTCCAAGTCTCTAGCTCTGTGGCGAATCTGGAAGTCAGCCTAAGCCAGGATCAAACTGTGCCATTTACTTATCTAATGGGGTCAATGACCTTTTGTTGTTGTTGTTGTTGTTATGTGCCTGCGACTCACAGAGACTCTATGTACAACAGCTCTAAACTCTGCTCTATCCTGTGCCAATCTTTTTGTCTCTGATACACCTACCCCATTTACTGAATTAATCCATCTCATGGAGGGTCTTCCTTACAAAACATTTTAATAGAACCCCCAAAACAGTGATTTTACTTAAAATTAAAACTTTTGTTACAGGCTCTTCTTTGGCTTAACTTCTGCAGAGTGCTCAATTATATTTAAAAGCAGTATCCAGAGATAATCTACTTTTTTCCATAAACATTAGTAATAAATTGATAATTATCCCTCACCTTATTTGGAGCTCAGGAGGCAGTTCTTTTTCCTCTTCCCATATCGTCATTTCTACAATGTATTTTATCACTGAAGGGAATATTTTCCTGGCTTGAGAAATTACCTCTTCACTCAATGTGCAATGTGAATTCTGTAAGAAAGTAAAGAATGACATACTGCCAATATTACATAATTGTTGTTGTTTAGTCAACTGTAACTTATGGTGACCCAAGCACGCAAATGAGAGCTATACTTCACAGGGTTTTCAAGGCTATGATCTTTTGGAAGCAGATCTTCCAGCCCATTCAACTATGCCTCTGGGTGCATTTGAATCAACCGTTCAGTTAGTAGTCTAGCACTTTTAATCACAAGTGCCACCCAGAAGCAATCTTCTCCTGTGCAATTTACAGTCTCTGAAAACCTGCTGGAGGGTCAGCCATAAGTCAGTTTGACTCAAAAGCACATACCACCACCAATAGGATATAAAAGGCAGTAATAGGTCCTGTAGCCAAACAAAATCAAGGGAATATATTAAAAGTTTTAAGTAATAGATATCTGATGATATTTTATCAACTTCTTAATAAATACTGGCTAAATGAAGGAATAAAAGAATCTAAAAATAGAGTGCTAGATGATAAAGCGAATGTGGTAAAAAGTTAGCAAAAGGATGTACAAAGGATATAAGAGCATTCTTTAGTGTTTTTGCAAATTTAAAAATTATCAAAATAAAGATTAAAAAACAAGGTACTAGAGTTTAGACTCAAATTGAGTTTAGATTCTCTTTTTTATTCTACTGACTTGCTGTCTATTCTTGTGCCAGATATATACTATTTTGATTACTAGAATCCAACTACCTTTTAAATCTATTAGGCCTACCTTACACTTATTTTTATGGAAATTTTCACAAATTTTAGAACAGCATTTTCATTACTTCAAACTCCAAAAAAGAGTCTAGTTGTTATTGTAATTGAGAATATACTGATTTTGCAGATTAATTTTGAAAAAAATTATCTTAATAATACTACATTTTCTAATTCAAGAATAAAATAAGTGTTAAAGGTTTTTTTCCCTTTCATGGCGATTACAGCATAGTTTTAAGGCTTTCTTAGCATAGACCTACAGATTTCATTTAGTTTACTTCCTTAGGTAGTCTATGATTTGATGCTATAATGAATGAGATTTTCCACTACATTTCTATCACAGATTGTTTGTTGGAGCATTCGAGAAATATCTGTTGAACTTTAAACTGGAGAGGAAAAACCATGATTTGTAAAACAAATTCAAAACTAGAGTTATAGATAAATATAACATTAAGAAATATCTGCCAAATAAATTGGGCCAAAAAAAACCCTACTGATTTGCAAACCATAAAGTCAAAGCTATAGTTCCGAATTATTTTACAGTATATTTTCTTGGCTTTTCGAGGCAGACAAATGTGACCACTTGCACTCTCCTTTCTAATTATTTCCCAGACTTGGTGGCTAAGTAGGATGTGTGCTGGGCTGCTAATTGAAAAGTCAGCTATTTTAATCCACCAGCTACTCTGAGGCAGAATGACAAAGCAATCTGCTCTTAATAAGATCTGCAGGGTTGCCTTAAGTCAGAATCAATACGATAGTATGAGTTTGGTTTTGATTTGGTTCCATTATTCACAACTAACTAGTTCATCCTAATTGTCTACCTGATTGGTGGTTCTTCTGGAACAGTGTTAAATAACTCCACCAATAGTGGATTTCCTATGTCTCTTTTGTGTCTCTGCTGGTCTAGTGGGTAGGGAATTGCGTTGCTAATCCAGTGGTGGCGCTGCTCTGGCAGTTCAAATCCATTAGCAGCACCACAGAATAAAGATGGGCCATCTTCTCCATGCAATTGATAGCCTCTTAGAATCGGCTAGAGGGTCATCTAGGAGTCAGTCCAACTGGAAGGTAATGAGAATGAGTCTACTTATAATGACAATATGCTAGTGTTCCATCAGTAAGCATGACTTACAGCTTTTGATTGAAAGTCAAACACACTGGGAGAAACTGAGATGTTATTAAGGAGATATATTCTCAAAATACCACCAACTACTCATATGCAAGTTCAAGCTAAAGCTGAGGAAAATTAAACCGAATCCACAGGAGCCAAAATATGACTTTAATTTCATACCACCTGAATTTCAGAATCATCTCAGGAACAGGTTTGAGGCCTTGAACACTAATGAGCGAAGACCAGATGAGTTGTGGGAGGATGTTAAATGTATCACCCAGGAAGAGTGCAGGTGGTCATTACAAAGACAGAAGAGGAAGAAAAGACCAAAATGGATGTCAGAAGAAACTCTGAAGACTGCACTGGAAAGTAGAGAAGCCAAAGCACAAGGAAGAATCCAAGAAACTAAAGAGCTAGCAGAAGATTCCAAAAGGCAGCACGGAATGACAAAGCAAAATACTACAATGAAATGTGCGAAGAGCTAGAGTCGGAAAACCAAAAGGGCCGAACTTGTTCAGCATTTCTTAAGCTCAAAGAACTGAAGAACAAATTCAAACCTCGAGTTGCTACAATCAAGGATGCTTTAGGCAGAATGTTAAATGATCCAGGAGGTAGTAAAAGAAGATGGAAGGAATATACTGAGTCATTGTATGGAAAGGAATTGGCAGATACAGAAGAATTTAATAAAATAGCATTTGAGCCAGAGCCTCTGGTGATGCAGGCAGAAGCTCAAGCTGCTCTGAAGGAAATAGCAAAAAATAAGGCCCCAGGAATAGATGGTATACCAATTGAAGTATTTCAGATAACAGATGCTGCCTTGGATGTGCTCACCAAGTTGGGCCAAGAAATCTAGAGAACAACCACTTGGCCAACTGACTGGAAGAGGTCTATATTTGTTCCCATCCCAAAGAATGGAGACCCAACTGAGTGTGGAAACTACAGAACAATATCATTGATTTCACATGCAAGCAAGATTCTACTGAAGATTATCCAAAAACGACTGGAACAGTACATCAGCAGAGAACTGCCAGAAGTCCAGGCAGGGTTTAGAAGGGGTCGTGGTACTAGGGATATTGTTGCTGATGTTAGATGGATCTTAGATGAAAGCAGAGAATACCAGAAGAATGTCTATCTGTGTTTCATTGATTATGCAAAGGCATTTGACTGCATGGATCATAACAAACTGTGGCTGACTCTGAGAAGAATGGGAATCCCAGAACATTTAATCGTACTAATGCGAAACCTATACTTGGACCAAGAGGCAGTCGTCAGAACAGAGCAGGGCAATACTGCATGGTTCAAAATTGGGAAGGGTGTACGCCAGGGACGTGTCCTGTCTCCATACCTTTTCAACCTGTATGCAGAGCAGATTATCCGAGAGGCAGGGCTCTATGAGGAGAAGAGTGGCGTTAGGATTGGTGGACGATCTATCAACAATCTGCGTTATGCAGATGACACAACCCTGCTCGCTGAAACTGAGGAGGACCTCATGCACTTACTGCAGAGGGTCAAGGACTGCAGCCTTCAATATGGACTAAGGCTCAATGTCCAGAAGACAAAAATTCTCACCAGTGGACCAATCAGTAGTATCAGCATGGATGGTGAAGAGATTGAGATTGTTCACAGCTTCCGTTTGCTCGGCTCCACGGTAAACACTCTTGGCACCACCAGTAGCCAGGAAATCAAAAAACGTATTGCGATGGGAAAGTCTGTGGTTAGGGACCTCTCTAAAGTACTCAAGAACAATGGTGTCTCTCTGGAGACTAAGGTGCGTCTGATACAGGCCATGGTTTTCACAATCACTTGTTATGCATCAGAGAGTTGGACAATGACTAGGGAGGACAGAAGCAGAGTGGATGCTTTTGAGCTGTGGTGCTGGAGAAGAGTCCTGAATGTACCATGGACTGCCAAGAAAACAAATAGATTCATCCTAGAGAGGGTTAAACCAGGCTGCTCCTTGGAGGCAAGGATTCTGGGGCTTCGCCTGACATACTTTGGACATGTTGTAAGGAGAGACAGGTCTTTAGAGAGGGACATCATGCTGGGCAGAGTGGAGGGACAGCGCAGGAGGGGAAGACCCTCTATGAGGTGGATTGATTCAGTGACTGGGGTAATCAGGATGGGTATGTCAGAGGCAGTGAGATTGGCACAGGATAGAGCAGGGTTTAGGGCTGTTGTACATAGGGTCGCTATGAGTCGCAAGCAACTCGACGGCACATAACAACAACAACATTCTCAAAATGTAGCAGGTTGAAGTACATTCCAAGAGGATTCACCCAAACAAGTAGGAATGATTGTGATCCCTTCTAGAGTGGAAGTAGTAGCAACCTGGAACCACTTAGTTCTTGTAGTCTCGGGGTCATGGAGTATAGAGTTAAATATATTTTAAAATGGAGGGGGACTTTAAACAAACCATATTAATAAACACATTCTGCACCTAGGCCTTGTAACTTAGTATTTCTTTTAAGCTTCCTTTGGTTTTGCCATTTTACATTAAAGTACATGTCATTCTAGTCATAGATAATTTAAAATGCTCTTAAAAAGAAAAGAATTAAGGAGGTAAAACAATCTCATTTTGAAGATGATACAATAATAAACTTAGAAAACCCGAAAGATTTGGCAAGAAAACTGTGGGCATAAGTTGGTCAATTCAGCAAAGTAGCAGGATATAAGTCAACATACAAAAATCAGTCAGATTTCTCTATAGTAACAGAGAACACAGAAAAGGAACTATGAAAAACAATACCAATTACAATAGTTAACCACAAGATCAAATACATAGGAACAAACCTAATTAGAAAGAAAAGAGCTACACAAAGAAAATTACAAAACATTACAAGAAATAAAAAGAGACCTAAAGAAATGGAAGAATAAAGTGCCCATCAAGAAACAAATGGATAGAGAAGCTGTGGTATATTCACACAATGATAATACTACGTTGCATTGAAAAACAAGGAACTCATGCAATATTATTCAAATGGATGACCCTGGAGGACATTATGCTGAGTGAAATATCTCAGTCACAAAGGGACAAATACTGCATTGTGCCACTGTTGTAAAACAGGACCGATATCAGGGTTGGGGGGAGACTAAGAAAGATGGGTTCGATAATGTATACTACATTGAAACAGATGAGGGGGAAAACTGTTTAAAAGGGATATGTGATTAGGTATTACTGTCATGATAGGAGTCCAGAATGAAGGATGCATAGTGAGTGGACCTGGGGGGAGGGATTGTAAAACAATGGGGGAACTTTTCTTTTACTTTTCAAACAGAAGAGTGTACTGGGGCCGGGAGGGGTGGGCAGGGAGAAAAGTGCAACAATGAATGAATGGAAATCCAAAGTCTTTGTAAATTTTCATTAAAATTAAGAAAAAAAATGATATAAGAAATGGAAGAATACACCATGATCATGGATGTTGTTGTTATATACTGTTGAGTCAGAACCAACTTATAGCTGATAGAAAGACTTAAAAGAGTGAAAATGACAAATCTACCAAAAGTAATCCACTAGTTCAATGCAATCCCAATACAGATATAAACTCTACTCTTCAATTAGATGGTAAAGAAAATTTCCAATTTTGTCTGGAATGGAAAGAGACCCCAAATAATCAAAAGATTACTGAAAAAGAGAAATAATGTAGGAGGCATCACGTTCCCTGATATCAGTCACAGTGGTCAAGACAGTAGGATACTGGTACAGTGAGAAAAAAAGATTGATGGAATAGAATCAAGATCCCATAAATGATCTAATGATCAACTGATTTTTGACAAGGAGATGAAATTATTTAAGTGGAGAAATGACAGCTTGTTTAACAAATTGTGCTGGCAAAATTGGAAAAACATCATCTCACACCATACACAATAGTTCTGAACTTTGTCCTATCCTGAGCCAACTTCACAATATGTGACACACCTGACCTCATTGTCACAGTCACTGTGTCAATAAATCTATCCAGGGTCTCCTTTTTCTGCATTGTCCCTTCACCTTTCCAAGCTTGATGTCCTTCTCCAAACACTGGTTCCTCCTGGCAATATGCTGAAAGTATGTGAGACAAAGTATCTGAATAAATTACGGCACTTGATTTTACCTGGTAAAATAATGTATTTTCACATATAACTGAATAGAGTTGTTTTGTTTTTTTTTAAATTTTATTATTTTTTTGTGTGTGCGTGTACTGAAAAAATCAGATCTGACTTGTACAGGAGATTGTCCCTCCTCCTCCAGAAGAGCATTTGGTGGATTTGAACCATCCATCTCCAGGATTGCAGTGTAGTTTCTTGCCATTAGGTAACCAGAGCTCTCCAACTGAATTCTTTTATAAAAGGTCTTTCCTCATCCTTTTGAGTTCCTCTTTAGATATGGTTCTATGGTTACTTCTTCATCTTCATTTCTAAGTAACTCTGAATTTGCTAGAAATTTTTCTTAGTTAGGACATACAAGGATAATCTAGTCATTGACACTCCCCCTCTGAGAAAAGTAGCTCTTAAATTTATGTGTCAAATTCACCTGTTCTTTACTTCACTAATTCTGTTCCTATCTTCCTTTTAGCTTTCTTGGCTTATATACTGCTAACTTTAGCTTGTAAGTGGTTTGGCTAACAAAGAGTATCTGAGTTTATCTCTAAAAAAAAGTTTGCATACAAAATTAATATATATTGTGCTTCACATTTTCCTTCATGCACATTGTTTCATACAATCATTCCCATACATTGTTTTAGAAAATTAATCACCATTGAACTATGCCCACCATTACCCCATCTTTTCAGGTCCCCACTGGATCTTTCCTATTTCCTTCACCCTCTCCTTCCATCCACCAAATTGTGCAATGCTGTGATTTTCCCCCTGCTCATCCTCATCCCTCTGCTCCGTCCTCTATCCCCTTTCATACATATTTGACTAGTTACACTTCAATTTTACAATAATGGTTTCATGCAGTATTGGTCCTTATGAGACTGATTTAGTTCACGCCATTCTCTCCTATGTATGAGTTCATCTTTTTATTATTAATTCATCTCCTCATAGAGAAACAGAGAAGTTATCAAGTCCTTACCTTGTCCAGAGTGGACTAAGACATTTAAATATGAGAGAGAAAAAAGCGGGATTTTCAATGGAATTAGTTTTTTATTTAATTAAAGTAAATATAAAATGTTGTTGCTGTTACGTGCTATCGAGTCTCCTGCAACAACAGCTCTGAACCCTGCCCTACCCAAAGCCAGTGTCACTGCCTCTAACACACCTAAATCCCATTGCCCTAGTTAAGGTACCGATCCATCTCATCCAGAATCTTCCTCTCCTGCGCCATCCCTCCACCCTTCCAAGTATGATGTCCTTCTGCCCTTCTCCAAAGACTGGTCCCTCTTGACCACATGCCCATTGTATTTGAGATGGGGCTTCAAAATTCTTGCCTCCAAAGAAAAACTTGGTTTCATTCTCTCCAAGACAAACCTATGTGTTCTCCTACCAGTCCATCAAATGTTCAATACTTTTCTCCGGCACCACAACTCAAAGACATCAATTCTTCTGTCATCTTTAGTCACTGTCTAGCTCTCTGATGAATAGCATGCAACTGCAAAGACCATGGCCTAGATCAGGTGCACCTTAGTCTCCATACTGACATGACTGTTCCTCAGCACTCTGGAGAGGTCCCTGACAGCAGATTTCCCCAATGCTATTTGTCTTTCGATTTCTTGACTGCTGGTGCCAAAAGTGTTGATTGTGGAGCCGAGCAAGTTGAAATTTAACCTCAATCTCTTCTCCATCTACCATGGCGTTGCCAATTGGCCCGGTGGTGAAAATTTTTGTCTTCTTGATATTAAGCTTCAATTTTTACCCCCTTACCTCTTTTGTAGTACCTGTTCTTCCAGGTTCATGATTTATACAAAAAGGGCCATTTTTCCATGCTTCTGTGTCTCCACAGTCACAAAACCCTCCTCCAGTAGAAGTATGCATCTAAAAAATGAAAAATTTTAAAAAGTAGGAATGACATTATAACTTAATAAGTGAGACACAAGTTTATGTACTAGGAATAGAAAAAAAATTATTCTAAACAAGCCTTGTTTTCTTTTCCAGATTTATTCTATTGGCTTTAGAATGTGTTCAATAAAAGAGCAATATATCATTGTCAAGGCAATAAATGGGCCTAGTTTTTGGTTTGCTTTCAAAACACAGGAAGACTCTAGTTAGGTGAATTCAACAACTACTTTTTAGGTTCAACTTTTTAAATTTGTGTTATTATTCTGATTTTAGTGTCTCAGATATTAAGCTACTATAGAAATAAAAAAACCTTGGTCCTATCAATAAAGATGATGGAAGATAGCAAAAGGACCTTTTGGTTATATCATCCAAAAGATAGCAGAGTTAAGTTGCAATATAGGGGTAATCTTCCAAAATAAGGAAAGACAAACTTAGTAGCAAAAACAAACAGCAAAATAAAATGTGTAGCCGTTTGAATGAACTACTACTGCCTCCTCTGCCATGACACCAGAAGAACGAGTTAGTACCTAGATAAAATTATTAAACTTCTGGATCGAAGGTTTTATAGAAAAAATCTGATCAAAAAAGGGAGAAATGCAGACTAAAATTTCAAGTTCTCATAGACTTCAGAATTTTTGGAGTCATGAAGGATAGGTGAACACCTGAAGCTATCTTCCTGACATAAACTTGAAACTAAAGTATTTCCTGGAGTCTACGAGTGTCTGCTTTGAGCACTGTGCTCTTTACAATTCCTATGAGACCTAACAGAAAACAGAAGTAACTTGGAAAAGGTGTTCAAAGTCAGTGTCACTTAATCATTCAGTATATGCTGAAATTATTGAATTTGTATATGTTATGCTGTATATATTGTCAATAAAAATATCATTTATTTTTTAAAAAACTGAAAAATAGGCAGAGGATATCAACAGACACTTCACAAAAAAAGCCATTCAGATGGCCAACAAACACAAGAAGAAATGTTCAAAATCCCTAGCTCTAAGAGAGAAGCAAATCAAAACAACTACAAGATATCATCTCATCCCAGGAAGAACAGCAAAATTTAACAGAACAGCAAACAACAAATGCTGGCGAGGCTGTGGAAAAACTGGAACCCTTATTCACTATTGGTGGAAGTGTAAAATGGTGCAACCACTGTGGAAGGCAGTGTGGCGCTTCTCAAAAAGTTGCAAATAGAAATATCATTTGACTCAGCAATTCCACTACTGGGAATTTACCCTAAAGAAACCATAACTGCCACCCAGGCAGATATATGCTGCATAGAGTCACTGTTGTAAAATGGGACTGACATAGAGGTTGCGGGGTGGTGGTGGTGGTGGTGAATGAGAAAGATGCGATAAATTATGTATACTGCATTGAAACAGATGAGAGAGAGAACTGTTTAAAAGGTATATATATTGTCATGACATGAGTCCAGAATGAAGGCTGCATAGTGGAGTGGACTTCGGGGGAGAATTTTTCTTTTACTTTTCTAAGAGAAGAATGAACTGGAGGGGAGGGGTGGGCAGGGAGAAAACTGCAACAATGAATGAATGGAAATAAAAAAATCTCTGTAAATTTTCATTAAAATGAATAATAATAATAAAAGAAACACACACACAAAAGAATAAAATAACCTTCAAAACCAAGAGGTAAAGATCCTTAAAATATGGGTTCAGCTGAAAAGTCTCTGTTTAAAAGGTTAAAAGGATTAAATAATGAATGAATGGAAATCTTAAGTTTTTATATACTTATAATAAAATCTCAATTAAAAAAGGGGGGGGTGGAGGATTAAAAGGTTGCTGTTAAAAATTTCTACCAAAAAAACCCAAAATAAAAAATTTAGAGGGAAAAAAAAATTTCTACAAGCTTTTAGCCCTAGGAGCAGTACTTTCAACTCTGTAAAAATTACAATTTACATATTTTCAGTATGCTATTTATATTTACATTTACATGAGATTTCAGGCATGCTTTTTTATAAACAAAAGTATCAAACATTTTATCTGTGTAAGCCTAGTGTACAGAACAAGCACTATTTGTGGAGAACAATATTTGAACAATATTTATTTCAACTCAAAATAACAAAATGGTTTAAAAATGTAACAGAATAAGAAATAGTTTTCTACTCACTAGTTATCAGGAAAACATAAATTAAGATCACAATGAGATACTCTTCTATCTTTCACAGTATATAATTTAAAAATTGGCAAACAGACAAAAAAGGATAATATCAAATCTCATAAGGAAAAAAGAGCAATGGGAATACTATGTAGTACAAGAAAAATACAAATTGGTATAATCGCTTAGGTCTGACATTGTCTAAAATGACTAAGGATTCACACACCACAGAAATGAGTACTCTGGTCTAAATATACAATCCAGAGAAACTCCTGAACAACATGCCAAAATATATAAGTAATATATTTACATACAAACAGAAATGTTCATAACTACATGTGGGACGCAATCTACATATATTTTATTAAGATATAATAAATAGAGATAATGTGGTTTCTCAAATGCTGTAAGGTCAATGATGACACATACATAACCCTGAGTGAAAGACATTAACAACAACAAAATATATGATTCCACACTAAATAAAGTTCATATTGGCTAAGCCTATCTAATACGATATAAGGAAACTATTAGTACAATACATAGGGGAGAGGTTACCTCAAGATGAGTGAGAGGGGCTGTGATCCAGAAAGGATATATGAGTGGTCTCTGGGGGGTTGGCAATGTCTATTTGTTGACCTAAATAGTGACAGATGGTTCCTTAACAATTAGTATCTAAACTCTTCATATCTTTTATATAATCCTTGATTTAAAAAATGATGATATAACTCACTATAAATGGGAAAAAATGTAAAAAACTGTCCTTACAGTAGTGGATGTCCTACTATTGAATATATTTAGCAGAAGCTAAAGTTTCACTATACAGAGCTATTACAGGAATTCACATATTGATGAGAAATTTGTACTAGATAACCATAATATTCCTGTTAATTCAGAAACTGTAGGGATTTATTTTCATACCTTGTAACGATGATTTTTATGAACACTATTCTGGAAGCAGTCCATACAGAGTACACATGTTGGATCAATTGCGCAGTCCCTACAAAAGATTGAAAATTAAATTACACTTAGATGATAATCATCAATGTTCAAGTATGACTAGAATTATGTTTTTCCTGGATATGCACAGTTGAGTCCAAAAAATACTTTAAAAAACTGAACAAAGACAGTAATATTATAATTTTAGCCTCTGACTTACATATTTGGAAGAAGCCTGATAACAAAGTAGGGTAAGCATGGACTGCTAACTCAAAGGTCAGTGATTAAAACCTATCAGATGTTCCTCAGAGGGAAAATGGGCAGTTTCCTCCAATAAAGATTTATACCCTCAGAAACTCAGTGGAGGATTGAAAAGAATCAGACATGATGGTAGTCTGTTTGGTTTGGATTACATATTTGTATGAGTAAGTTTGAGGGTTCAGTTTTGTATTATCATCATTTTTTACTTTGAGAATTCATCCAGTGTCAAACCATTAAATACTACAAATTAGTTCTGAGGATAATTATGAGCTTTCAAAAAGTTAGTAATCACCTTACCCTGTTGTACTTATATACGTTATAAATACTGATTATTAATTGGTGAATGAGCTTTTGAAATAGATTAATTTCATTAATATAAAAAGCAGAACTTTTTACAATGATATGTCTTTAATACCTAGAACAGTGCCTAGAAGACAAAAGATCTTAAAAAAAATTTTTTATACTTCTTATGATTTGAGTGAAAGTCAACAGAGCAGATTAACATGCCATTCAATCATTCGTATAGACTTTGTTTTGTGGCATTGAAGTACCCACATATCATCACTCTTTCCATTATCTCTCTAATGGTTCTTATTTTTCATGCATCCTTCCATTTACCTTCTGAGTTTTATCCTTGAACAAATGCTGCCCTTGTGATTCCACTGGTTCTGGGTGCTGAGTATCTACCTGGTCTTACAGTTTACATTATAGATCTGTCTATTGCTTGGCTGAAAGTTGTACAATAGGAGTATGTTCAATTTCAAGCTCAATGAGTAGTTAAGGGTGATGATATTGTTGTTGCCATGTTTCTTGAAATTCCTAATACAACGTCCTTATAAACAACAGGTCAGAATATTGCCCTCTCCTACACCACCTCACAATCTCTGGCATGTTCCGGTTCATTGTTACAGTCATTGTGTCAATCCATCTTGTTGAGGGTTTTCCTCTCTTTCTCTGATCCTCCACCTTTCCCAGCATGATGTCTTTCTCCAACAACTGGATCCTGTTGACACCATATGGAAAGTATGCCTCTAGAGAGTAGCTCAGTTGCACTTCCTCCAAGACAGATTTGTTTATTCTCTCCATGGAATATTCAGTTCACTTCTCCAATATCACAATTCAAAGTCATCAATTCTTCTCCAGTCATCCTTATTCATTGTCCAATTTTCCCATCCATCGGAAGCAATTGAAAATAATATGACGTAGCCTTTAAGCTACACAACTTTGTGCTGTCCCTCTTTCCAAGCATGATGTCCGTCTCCAAGGAATGGTCCCTTCTTGCAGCATGCCCAAAATATGTCAGATGGAGCTTTTTGCTCTTAACGAGCAGCCTGGTTTCACCCTCTCCAGTATGAATTTGTCTTTAAGCTGGCATCCTTGCTTTCTAGAACTGTGGAGAGGTCCCTGATAGCACATTTTCCCAGCTTAAAGCATATTTAGATTTCTTGAAGGCTACTACCATACTACCATGGGTGCTAATTGTGGATGTAAGTGAAATAATGTCCTTGACAACTTCAAACTTCTCTTCATCTAATAGGATATTGCATACTGGCCTACAGGTGAGGATTTTTGTTTTTGTGATGTTGAGACGCAATTCATATTGAAAGTTATGGTCTATGAACTTCTGTAGTAAATGCTTTAAGTCTTCTTCATTTATACAAGCAAGGTTGTATTATCTGCATAATTACAGAAATGTTGATGAGTGTTCCTCCAGCTCTGATTCCACATTCTTCATACAGTCCACCTTCTTGAATGATTCAATCCCCACATAGATAAACATAATTGCACCTTTCTACAATCAATACTTTTGGTACCCGCATACAGGAAATCAAAAGACAAACTGCATTGGGAAAATCTGCTGTCGGGGATCTCTCCAGAGTACTGAAGAGCAATGATGTCAGTCTAGAGACTAAGATGCACCTGATTCAGGCCATGGTCTTCACAATTACATGCCATGCATCCTAGAGCTGATTAATGACTAAGGATAATAGAAGAAGAATTGATGCCTTTGAGTTGTGGTGCTAGAGGAGAGTACTGAATATAGCACAGATTACTAGGAGAACAAACAGGTTCAACCTGGAGAGGGTGAAACCAGGCTGCTCAAAAGAGGCAAGGATTCTAAACTCCATCTGACATACTGTGGGCATACTGCAAGAAAGGATCAGTCTTTGGAGAAGGACATCATGCTTGGAAGAAGAGACAGCACAAGAAAGGAAGACCTTGGATGAGACTGATTGACTCAGTCACTGGGGTAATGGGGGCAAGAGCGTCAGAGAGAATGAAATTGGCTCAATATTGAGCAGCATTCAGAGTTGTTGTACATAGCGTCCCCATTAGTCAGAGTTGACTCAATGGTACATAAAAACAACACACAACAATCTGAAAAATTCAGAATCCTGAAACACATCTGGTCCAAAGGGCGTCTATATTATGAGAAAGCATAAAATAGATTACAGATATTTTTGAACACTAAAAAAAAATAAAAGAACTATTCAAGTCAAAGTTAAATATTATAAAACAAGTTATTTTAACAAAAACAAATTGATAAAAAGAAATTAAGTGGATTCAATAGATTATAAACAGCAGTAAATCAAGTACATCACAAAGAAAGACTATAGTTATAACCTAATCTATAAGCTTCTAATTCTTACCTACAAGAATATGTTGTCTCTCCACTTTTGAAAACCTTCCCACACAGCTGAAATGCTCCACTGTGCTTCAATTTATCTAAACAAATATCTGGATTTTCTCCAAATAAGTACCATTCCAGGGGAGTGAATATTAGTATTTGTACACTCTCCTCTTGCTTTGTCAAATCTGGATCCATTTCCGCAAAATAAATTTCTGGTATCAATTGTGCCAAATGACGCAAGAAAGTAGTATAAAAATCAACTTGCTGATCCCAACACTGCAATAAAAGAAAACAAAAATTAGACTTCATTACAAAAGACAAGGAATATAAGCATTTTATTTATGTAATACACAATTTTAAAGAAAATTATTTAAAGTATATTTTTATTTTATCATTTACCAGTACAAAAGGAAAATGTTAGATTAATAAAAAGATTATTTCAGGGAACAGGTGGTTACCTAACTTTCATAGGTATCTGAAATAAAAAGAAGAGCAGTTATGGGGATGAGGATTATTGTTCCTTCTGAAACAGACTTCTACCACATGAAAGAAATTTTACCAAGTTCAGAAGCAGTCAAGACAACATATTCCCCATATTCTTTTTTTTATTTTATTTTTATTATTTGTGTGTGTGTGCATTGTCAAATCAGATTTGACTGGTACAGGAGGAGATGGTTCCTCCTTCTCCAGCAAAGCATCTGGTGGATTTGAACCGCACACCTCTGGGATTGCAGTGCAGCTTCTTGCCACTAGGCCACCAGAGCTCGCCATATTCTTATTTTAACTATTTCAGAGAGCCATAAGACCTAATGAGAAAAATAACATGATCCAAAGGATTTTAGACTACAATAAATACTAACCACACGATTTTTAAAAGTAGACAAATTAAATTTCATAAAAAAAATTTTGCTCTTCTAAAAGACAAGATTACAGGTGGCAAATATGCACATAAAATATACTCAACATGATTAGTCATAAGAAAATACAAATTAAGATTACAGAGTCATGATGGATGATGAAGAGACTGAAATTGTCAACAGCTTCATCTTGCTTGGATCCACAATAACCAATCTTGGTACGAGTTTTCAGGAAATAAAGAGATGCATTACACTGGGGAAATCTGCAGTTAGAGACTTCTCCAAATTATTAAGGAGTAATGATGTCAGTTTGAGGACTAACGTGTATCTGTTTCAGGTCATGGTCTTTCCAATTATTTATGTATCTGAGAACTGGACAATGAATAAGGATGAAAGGAAAAGAGCTGTTGCTTTTGAGCTGTGGTGTTGGAGAACTCTCAACACCCCATGGACGGTCAAGAGAACAAACAGGTATGTCTCAGGAAAGGGTGAAACCAGAGTGCTCTTTGGAGGCAAGAATGATGAGGCTTCACCTCACATACTTAGGGCATGTTCTTAGGAGGGGTTATTCCTTGGAGAAGGACATGATGCTGGGAAGGGTGGAGGGTTTGCAAAGGAAAGGAAGACCCACAACTATGGACTGACACAGTGACTACTGCAATGGATCTTGTGTGTCAAGAAATATGAGAATGGTACAGGATAGAACAGGGTTCAGATCTTTTGTTCATAGGGTTGCTATGAATCGTACTCAGCTTGATGGCACCTAACAACAATAATACAATCTATTAATGTGGAACAATGAGGTCTTTTAAGGACTAAGGTATGTCTGGTCTTTTCAATTATTTGCTATGCTGCTGACAGCTGCACTGTGTATAAGGGTGACAGAAGAAGAATTGATGCCTTTGAACTATGGTGTTGGAGCAGAGTACTGTATCCTGTATACTGCCAAAAGAACAGATATGTCTTAGAGAAGACGCAGCCAGAGTACTCCTTGGAGGCAAAAATGGTGAAATATGTTGCTAGGAGAGGCCACTCCTTGGAGAAGGACATCATGTTTGGAGAGGTGGCGGGACAGTGAAAGTAAGGAAGATCCTTCAGCCAGGTGGATCGGCACAGTGACTACAGCAATGGACTTCAGTGTCTCAGAAATTGTGAGGATCAGAGATTGTGAAGATTGTACAGGATAGGATAGGGTTAAGATCTATTTTCATAGGGTCACTAGAGTCATACTCAACTCTATGGCACCTATCAATGCCACCACCACCACCACCACCACAATCTATTAGTGTTAAGAAGTTGCACTGCCAACTCAAAGACACAAGGTTCAAACCCACCAGCTGCTCCATGGGTGAAAGATGGGTAATATCCACCTGTGCAATTAAAACTCGCTGGAGCATCAGCTGCTTTTAAAAAGTCGCTGGATAACCATAATACCCATCATACATCACTTTTAAATTATTCAGTCCCTCATCTGTTTCAGTGCAGTATACACAATTTATCCAGTTTTTCTCAGTCTTAACCCCACAAGAGTCCACAATTAAGGTTGCATAGTGGAATGTACCTGGGCGGTGGGAGGGGTGCGGGGGGATTGTGTACCAGGGAAGGAGTGTTTCTTTTACTTTTGAAAGAGAGGAGCGAACTTGGGGGTGGGGTAAGG